AAAGAGATTAATGTCTTATGGGGCCCACTGATAAGTTATGATTGAGGAAATTGCATGGCCATGCTGAGATGTTTTTATGACGTCTGTTCCTATTAGTCAAACTTGATAAATCAGTGAATGACTTAATGGATACAAGCTGGATTTTATTAATCCCTTGCATTAAGTTTAGACATTGAGACAAAGGGATACAGTTACACGGAGTTTGAGTCGTGGAAAGGTTTTGACGGTGCAAACGTCTTAACTTATAATCTGGGGGCAATAATGTGTTGCTAGATACCGCTTATTGCTTATAGTATTGGTGTAGAGCCAATACTGTGGCCAGCTTTATAAGTGCCTATACGGGTCACACACTTTGGACAATTTAAGGAGTAATATTATATATATAAATATTCGGTTATATATATTATATATATGTGCCGATTAATATATATATATTATATGTTGAATATTTTATTTTGATTTGTCATTTTAATTATGAAAATAATTATTTTGACGTAAACTATTTAAAGTATATTTGTATACTTGTTTAAAATGATATGGGTATTTTTATTTGATTTAAAATTAATTTTATATTAATTTTTTGGTGTCAAATAAAATACACTTTGAACATCTGAGTGGAGAAGAATTTTGAATATCCTTCTCAAATCAAAACATACGGCCATGTGATGTTAATGAGGACAAATTTCTTTTTGACTTTGCATTTTAAAGATGTTGGAAATTTCCTAATTTGTCATTAAGTGTATAATTATTTTTTTAAATCCTCTTTAATGTTTCACAATATATGTAACGCACATTCAATTGAAAAAAAAGGAAAAATTTCGGTCATTACATTTTAGAGAGAGAAATACTTCTTTGGTCCCATCGATTTGCTTTGACGGATCTTTGAGAGAGGACTAGAAAAGGAAATGATCCTAATTAAAATGGGTTACGGCAAAAATATATGATAATAATGTATTAAATATGGAACATCCCCAGTTATAATGGATCATTTAAAGAATTTACTCATGTTTTTATTCCCAAAATAGAAGTTATACTTGTGATAATGTGGCATTGTACATGAGCATTCTATAATATTTTTTGACATTGTATATTGACACAATTAACATTGTATATGTATTTTTACTCCTATTTTGAGAATACAAATATAGAACTTCTATTTTGGTATATTTTCTATGTTTTATTATTTTGGTATTATACCCATTTTTTAAGGGTAATGCTAAAACCCACCACCAATGCCCCCACCCATTATTTTATACCTACACAGACAATAATCGTCTGTATTATTCACAGACGATTAGAGATGTCAATTTTTATCTGATTCGATGGATAACTTATTCACCCGATCTGCCTTCACGAATAAAAACTTGAAACAAAAAGGGTGGTGGACGGATGTGAATGAAGATATTTCTCACTCGTCACCCGATCCATTACCCGATGCATTCATATTTATCATAAAAAAACTTAAAATTGAAAATATTACCTTTGTTGAGTACATAAGTTTGTTCTATTTTCCAATATTCCAATCTGTAAAAGCCAAGTTTGTAATTTAGAAGATTGTTACTTTGTAAGATTTTATCATAAACATTATTAATCTCTTAGTTTTCTAAGATTTTTTTGGTATTATAGGCTTCATAAGTTTTTCGTTTTATGAGATTAATGATTAAAAAATTATCATTTATATCACCCGTTTTCATCCGCTTCACTCGCGGATGATATATGGATTCGGGTGATGGATTATGTATGTAGAGTCTATGGATGGATGAAGGTGAAGCTCCACCCGAGCAAAACTCGATCCGTTGACATCTCTACAGACGATTATTATCTGTGTAGTTTTAAAATCGTCGGTGAGGACGTGAGAGCATTGGTGGAGGCATTGGTGGTGAGTTTGTAACACAACCCTTTTTTAATATCACAATGAGTAATGCTACACCCACCCCATTTTATACTCCACTCCACCATCCACCATCCATTATTTATTTTTTCTTTAAACTTTTTTTAACATTTGTCTTTGTGAATGGTGAGGATGGAAGGGTACAAATGGATAGACCCCCTACCCTAGCATTTTTCTATCCCAATCATTATATATATTATTTGAGAGTTGATTCATTAAAATTATGACATGTGTCACTTAAAGAGGTTTAATTTTTTGACACATCAGCCTTCCACGAGTCAATACTTTGGAGAGTCCATTCGTTCGGCCATTTTCCTTCACTGAAGAAAATTTCTTTCGTTTCTGCAATTCGGCGAAGAAGGAAATTCTTTCCTTTCTGCAATTCGGCGAAGAAGGAAGGAAAGTTTGGAGACTTTCCTCACTTCCCTAAACCAGGTCACCCCATCTCTTATTATCCATCTCCAATACTCTTTCTTGATTTTCTTTAATATCTTGATTTTCTTTAGTTTCTTGATTTTGGTTTTCCATTCCTTAGGTTTTGTGTCAGTTATACGGATGAACTGATGCAAATGCATGTTGTTAAAGTTTGTTGCAGGGATAATGTTCCAAGACATCACAACTTTGCTGTTGAATCATAAGGCCTTCAAAGACACTGTTGACTTTCCATAGGTATGTGATAAGTCATTTTTGTATTAATTCTTTTTATTCTTTTTTAGGCATTTTTAAGATTTTTAGAGTTTAATTTTTAGTTGTTTAGCATAGTTTTATTTTAATTTCTATTCTTACAATCTTTTAATTTTCTTTCAAAAAATAGTAGTTTTTTAATCATTTTTTTTACATTCTATTATTTTTATTTTCCCTAACCCAAAATTATCAGATATCTTATTTTTTGGAGAAAAGTGTAGCAAAAAAGGCCAAATTGAAGCTCAAGTTTGAAAAGAAGAGGTTGAATTTGGGCCAAAGCCCAAAATCATCAACAAAACAAGTCCAGTCCCGTCCCTGTTTAGTTTCACGCAAGAATGAAAAGCTACGTCAGCGACTCCTTCTTCGTCGAAGAGTAACGTGTTAGACAAATGTGCAACTCTAGAGGGGGGTGAATAGAGTTGTTCTCAAGAATGTGCGTTTTTCGCGTGTGTGAAATAATAAAATCGCAGGAATAAATAAAAGGAGTTAGGGAAAGAAGAACACCGAGATTTATACTGGTTCACCACCTCGTGGCTAGTCCAGTCCTCCGAGAGACTCTCTCGAAAGTCCTACTAATCTTCAAGCTTCAACGGGTGCTTGAAAAACCGGTACAACTTGAGAACTTGAATCACACAAGCCTCACTTTCTTACAACAACAAGACTTGAGTCACACAAGTCTTAAGAACAACACTCAAATGAGATTGAGTTTACAACACAAGAATGAAAGCTCACACAATTGAGCAAAGTAGTGTTGAAGAATTTAAGCTCTATGGATGACAACTTCTATAGCACTCAAAAAAATATTTCTAACTCTTTAAAATAATATTTTGATGAGGAAGATGAAGCAAAGGATGAATAGCTCAAAGAAATATATTGGAGTGCAAGAGGTGTGTATTGAAATGAAGGAGAATGAGGGATTAAATAGGCTGAGGAAAA